CGCCGTCGTGGATTGGACTTATTGTTGCCATGGTCGAAACATGGTCCTTACATTGCCAATGGCCCCACAGGAACAAGACACGATGGCGTTGAGGGGCCAATCGTGCTGCATAAGACAGTCGCCGTCGTTGATTGGACTTATTGTTGCCATGGTCGAAACATGGTCCTTACATTGCCAATGGCCCCACATGAACAAGACACGATGGCGCTGAGGGGCCGATCGTGCTGCATAAGACAGTCGCTGTCGTGGATTGGACTTATTGTTGCCATGGTCGAAACATGGTCCTTACATTGCCAATGGCCCCACAGGAACAAGACACGATGGCGCTGAGGGGCCGATCGTGCTGCATAAGACAGTCGCCGTCGTGGATTGGACTTATTGTTGCCATGGTTGAAACATGGTCCTTACATTGCCAATGGCCCCACAGGAACAAGACACAATGGCGCTGAGGGGCCGATCGGGAATGGACCCTCACACCCGGTCAAACCAATCAATTTGGGCTGCCGGTGTCCTTCGGGGGCACTCCGATTGCAGCCGATCGTGGGTTGGCCGGTCGGCCCATTAATCAAATCTTTTAATTTAAAATGATGGTAAGCTTCCCACTGGAGCTTCACCTGTCATCTACTTAGTTCGGGAAAGTATATATTCCCTAATAAATAGTGGTGATCAATAACCATAGTATTATTATCTCCACGATTAATTAAAAGCAGGTGGTTGAATTGGGTACTTAGCTTTTTGGGGATGCACTGAACTTGGCAGACTGCACAAGATATGACCCATCCAACAAAGACCCATTTGGAGCACAACATCATCCAGCCCATTACCTCAGGTTGAGTTTATATACTCGACTGGTCAAGAATTCTCAGTGGTCGTTCGAGAATAACCATTTGGAGCAAGTATGACCCGATCTTTAACCCTTGAGTGTAGATCACCAAAGTCGTAGCCCAGAGTCTTAGCTGAGCTGCGTAAGTGCCGGTCGGGGAGCAGCCAGTCGGGGAGCTGTCGGTCGGTGGCACACCGGTCGGTGTGAGGCCACAAACGGTTCAGTCGTTGAAAAATCTGAAGCTCTGCCCGTCTACCGTTCGGTGGGTGTGCCTGTTTGCCTGGTCGGCTAAGCTTTCTTCTCCGGAAGGATATCGGTAGTTCTGCTCCTCCATGGTCTGCTGTGCGATTTCCCTTTTGGCTGCTCAATCACTCTTTGACCGATGGTCCGGGAGGCCTGAATGAATGAATGGATTAGGCCGTGTGGCTACCTTGACCTGGCCGGCATCGGTGGGCTAGTGAGTAGTGCCGTTCGGGAGCAAAAGGATGTTATTCGCTAGTCTGCTGTCATTCCCGATAATCGAAGCTGTTGGTCGGTTAGAAAATTTCTCTTTTAGAGGCCGTTCGGGTAACTTCACGCACAGGGCTATTGAAGTACTGGTCAAATGTAAAAACTGATAGGCAGGGGATCTACCGTTCCTGGTCGGTAGGTCTGACTGATGTCCACAATTGTTTTTGTTGAAAATGGAGGCCAGGCAGTTCCTGTGTTGAGGGATGAGCAGTCGTTCGGTCTGGGGTTCCCTAAAGATTTCCTTGCGGCCATCGTGAATGCCCGGCAATCGTTGCCATTCTTATGCATCCGGACGGGAAAGACTCACCTGATGGAGGCAGCATCCTGAGCAGGAATGGGGTTCCCACTTCACTTTGTTTCAGGTATTTCCACCCCTGCCGGGAACAAACTTGAGGCGGTTACTAGTGCTCGCGTTCAGGAGTTCCCGTTCGGGATGGCGGCAACTACTCTTTCGATAACAATGAATCTGTCACATCAGCAATTATCCTCCTGTCAGCCTTTCCACGTGAGAGTAGACATCTACTCTTCTTATCTCAAGTTAGTGGGTAGGTGGGCCCCATTCACACTTTCTTTTGTCTCCGGTAGAAACTCCCGGCTGGTTCGTGCTCTGCTTGATCGTGTTGCTACGGCACGGGCATTTTTCTTAGGACATGGTGGCAGTGTTGCATCTGGGAGGTCTTTTTGGCTAGCCACTGCGAGTGAACGATGTCGGCTCCATGAGGTCAAGCGGCTTGACATATCAGTGGCGAGTGGAGGCTCATCCCGGCGTCTCGCCGGCGACCAACTTTTGAACCGGAGAATGCCCTGCGTGTTTGGTTTCTTGTATTTCTGCAGGAAGCTGAAGTTACAGGGCAGCAGTTGCTTTGAATGAGGACTTCGCTGCGCTGCTGGACTAGACCTGGGAGCCTTCCTTCGTTCTTGTTAGTTTCTCAGGATCTTCATTTCTTCTTTTCTTTGATAGAATCAGTTCATCCTTTGGCCAAAATCTTTGCAGCATCGAGAACACATAATCTTTTTGAACCATTTCCCACAGACGGCGCCAATGTTGAGGTTTTGTCCCGTAGATCCGAAAGCCCAACATCAACTTTGGATATTAGGGACGATCCATTCGGTATAAAAGTGAATAAATATATAAAAGTGTATGAACTAGCTATTTTTACGTGGAAACCCGGAAAGGGAGAAAACCACGGGACTTTTTAGGCTAACGTCCAAGCCCGCTCTGTCTCATTCATATCCTCCCATCACTCAATTACATTGTACAAATATCTTATCTCCATTAATGGAGTTTGTTGCTAGCTCTAAAGAAGAAGATAAAGCATGGAGGAATGGGAAGAAATCTCCCTGGAAGGATCCCCTTCCCTGGAAGCCCTTCCTTCCTATTTATAGAAAAGGGGAGGGGGTAAGGGTTTTCAAATGGCCCAATGGGCCTAAATGGGCCGGTTTGGCCTGGATAGGCCTAAATGATCCTTGCTAACTGGGTCCCGTACCGGGGCGGTGTATTGGGCCTCTAAACAGTGGTAGGCCGGGGTAACATACCCCAACAGGCTCATTCTGCTCAATTGTGAAAAAAAATATTTAAAATATATTTTATTAATAAACTATTGAAAAAATTACAAAAAGAAATATCTAAAATGATCCTCTACAATAACTTCAACCAGTACAACAAGAAAAGTAATTTCAACCTTTACTTTTTTTTTATTACACCACTTAGGAAGCGAAATCGAAAATTCCGTGTTTGGCGAAAAAATTAGCTGATAAAATTGATAAGCAGAAAAACATGATCACCAAAGGGATATCTAGAGCCCGTTTGATAACACTGAAATTGAATAAATTGGTTAATTATGCTGAAATTTATAAAGTTTTGGTCGAAGTTATGAATTGGCTAATTCTAAAATTTATGAAAAAGTTATATTTAAATATTTTTATCAATAAAATAAAATAAAAATTATATAAAAAAATAGTTCAAACAATCATGTACAATAATTTCAACCAATAGAGTCTAAACTTACTACTACCTCCGTCCCATTTTATGTGTCTTAGTTTGACTTGGCACGATTATCAATGATGTGGTTGAAAAAGTAAAAGTTGTGGTTGAGATTTAAGTATAATAAAGTGAAATAGTGTAGACCACATATTTCTTTCCAAAAAAGAAAAGGAGACACTTATTTTGGGATAACCCAAAATGGAAAGTAGGACAGATAAAATGGGACGGAGGGAGTATTTCTTTTTATTACACACGTCAGCCGTTAAAATCAAAAGTTTCATATTTGTTAGAAAGGTTGGCTACCAGGGCCGGTCCTGTCGATTTTCGGGCCTATGGGCGAGATATTATTTGGGCCTATGTTCAAGACAAAAACTAATCTCTTAAAATCGATCAACGAAACATGTCCCACCAAAAGTTATTCTCTTCACTTAAATCACAATTATCTGGCTCAATTTCACTATTTGCGACTTTTGCACCTATATCACTATTTCCAAGCATGTTATGGTTTTCATTCACAAAAGAATTTAGCGGCGATTCAACTTGAGAAGAATTTTCGGGATTCAATTTCTTAACAAAAACAAAATTTTTCATTGCCCCCGTCTTACTTAAGGCTGCATTTTCTAATCTTTGTCTCTTTTTTTCTTTTTCCCAACCATATTCACCCATTTTATCAAACACTTTCACAATAGTAAAACGAAATAAAGGAATTCAATTCAAAATTGCACAGTACCAAACAAATATGAATTTACCAAGACACCAAAAATGCATCATATAGAAATCATTATTCATAATTCATAAATGAAAAGAACATTTAGTGGATTTATTATTCATAGTTAATAGATTGGGAATAATTTACTGGCCGTTGTCGGATTGTTTGAAGCCTCGACAGAAGAAGGTGTTCTAGTCGCCGGCCGCTATTTTGACTCCTCACCGCTGACCGCTTTGGCTAATGGCGATTTGCAGGCTTGCAGCGCTCTCTAATGTCTACTCTTGTGCAAGATGACCAAGACCTTATTAAACCTTAGTCCTTTAGGTCATTAGATAATTGAGTTTAATTGGAACTTGGAAACCATCGTCCAGGAAATTAATTAGGTTAGTGGGATGGGGTGGTTTATGAATCGGGAGTTTGGGAGACACACGGGTTGTTTAAAGAGTTAGAGCGAATAAATATTTTGGTAATTTTGTAATTAAAAGAATTATAAAGCTTAGAGATGTGAAGAGACTTAACTACTCAAAGAGATGTGCCACATGCCTTTTAACCTTTGTTTTAAAAATTTTAAATTTCCGACAAAATTAAACCTTAGACCTAATTACTTGAGTTTAAATTAAAAAAAGAAGCATATTCACACTATATATAAAGACAAATTTTTGGGCATATTTTTCCCCTCTATTTTTTCGGGCCTAGGGCGGTCGCCCCTGTTGCACCCCCAAGGACCGGCCCTGTTCACATAAAAATTCTTGTTGTACGCAAAATTAATACACAACTTGTACATAAACCCCAAAATATCTATGTATACAAGTAATTCGTTTGAAAAATGAATGATTTTATATCAAAATTTGTACACACAGACAATTTATGTGTATAGAACAAGAATTACTCATTTTCACATGTTATTCAAAGTGTATTTGAATATTAGGAAAAAAAGAAGTAATGTCATTAAATATTATTATACCTGACATGGTGGGATGCAGATATGATGATGATAAATCACAATCCATCCGTATGGAACATGATAATACGAGCAATTGACTGATGAGCAGAAACGAGGGCATTAGTCACATCATGGCCATGAGCCACCCATCATCATCATGGTTGCGGAAAGATTCCATATACACATATACATACGGCGTACAATATATGTATCGCCACAAAATAGAAATTAAATAATGGGAAAAGACGGTACAACGGCGTGCCCTCAAGGGCCGGTAATGATTACATATGGACTCATCCCGATATGGCTATGGCTAGACATAGAAAGAGAGAAGGAAATCCAACCCACAACCTCCGCAGCCACAGCCGCCATTTCCTCCCTCATTTACACCCATTTCTGCATTTATTAATCAATAATCAATCCTCGTCCACTTAATTAATGACCCCTTTATTAATCTAGTGCCCACCAAAGAAAAATCTGAAGCGACAGAATGAAAATGAAAAGTATCTCCCAAAACCCAAAATTCTCTAATTAATTAAAATTAAAGTTAACAGACAGACAGACACATAGAGAACGAGTGTGGGAAAGAAAGCTCTTTGGGTTCATTTTTCATTGATATGATGATGATGATGACGATGACTGTTTGTATATTCGTTAAATCTTCTACAGTCCCATTCATCTCCCGATTGACTATTTCATAGATTTAAAGTGAAATCCGCGATAAGAATTGAATCTGGGTATCTTATGAAAAGATTGGATTTTGGGTTTGTTTTTAAATCTAATCCAGGATCTATTTCAAAATTTCCCAACAGGAGATTATACGACAACCACCACTCACCATCATCATCATTAGTATATAAAGGGCAACTGCGTTATGAATGAAAACGCCAAATGTAGAAGCTGCTACCACACTCTCACTCACCTTCATCCTTACATCATCACTTCACCTTAAATCTCTCCATCTCCAGAAGATTTTCTTCCTTTTTGCCCTCCTTTCTGGCTTTCTTCACCTTCACGCTTATTTCCCAGCGGCCGTTTCCCTTAAAATCCGAGCCCGACCTCTTCTTTCTTCCCTTTTTTCTGTATATATAAAGAACCTTAGCTTCAAACTCTCTTTACACTTACAATAACAATTCCTCTGTTTCTAGACCGGGAAGTTAAAAACAGGATGATGGTGAGGGTGGAGGTGCGAGATTACGACGCCAAGAGAGACGCCAAGGCGGTGGAAGAGGTGGAGCGGGAGTGCGAAGTCGGCAGCGCCGCCGGGAAACTCGCCATCTTCACCGACCTCATGGGTGACCCCTTATGCCGAGTCCGGAACTCCCCTGCTTTTCATATGCTTGTAAGTATATATGCTGTCAAGATTGTTTTTTTACCATTTCATTTCTATGATTCTGACTTTCTTGATCGTCCGGCCAGGTTGCGGAGGCGGTGGTGGTGACCATGGACGGAAGACAAACCAGAGAGATGGTGGGGATGATCCGAGGTTGCATCAAGACTGTTTCTTGTGGGAAGAAGCTCTCAAGGAATAGTAATCATAATACGAAAAACAACAATAATAGTCATCTCCCTGTTTACGCTAAAGTCGCTTACATCTTAGGCCTTCGGGTCTCTCCTTCTCACAGGTTTTTATCTTTTATCAATAAAGATTGAAGCTTTAAGATTAAAGATTCAAACTTTACTTTGAAATTTGAAAAATGGAATTTAATGTTTATGTTTCTGGATTATTTATAGGAGGATGGGGATTGGGTTGAAACTGGTCAAAAAACTGGAGATGTGGTTTATGGAGAATGGTGCTGAATATTCTTACATGGCCTCTGAAAATGACAACAAAGCTTCTATCAACCTCTTCACTCATAAATGCGGTTACTCACTCTTTAGAAGGCCTTCCATACTGGTCCAACCCGTTTTTGCCCACCGGGTCCGGGTCTCCGATAAGGTCACCATCATCAAGCTCAGCCCCGGCGACGCCGAGGTTCTATACCGCCGGCGTTTCTCCACCACCGAGTTCTTCCCGCGGGACATCGACTCCATTCTGAGGAACAGGCTGAATCTGGGTACCTTCCTCGCCGTGCCGAAGGGGCGTTACACCGGTGACTCGTGGCCGGGCTCCGGCGAGTTTCTGGCGGACCCGCCCGAGTCTTGGGCCGTGCTGAGCGTGTGGAACTCGATGGACGTGTTCAAGCTTGAAGTCCGGGGGGCGTCCAAGAAGCTATTGGGCTTCGCGAAGACGACGCGGTTACTGGACCGGGCCTTCCCCTGGCTGCACCTGCCGTCTGTTCCGGAGGTTTTCAGGCCTTTTGGGCTGCATTTTCTGTATGGGCTCGGCGGGGAAGGCCCGTTGGGGGTGAAGTACATAAAGGAGCTCTGCGGGCTGGCCCACAACCTGGCGAAGGAGAGAGGGTGTGGGGTGGTGGCGACGGAGGTGGCGAACGGCGACCGGCTCAGTTTAGGGATCCCACACTGGAAGAAGCTATCGTGCGCCAACGACTTGTGGTGCATTAAACGGCTGGGGGGAGAGTCCAGTGACGCGGCGGTCGGTGATTGGACGAAGTCCCAACCTGGTCTCTCCATTTTTGTTGATCCTAGGGAGGTCTAGATAATTTGGTGGCCCAGCCCATACTACAAGTAGTAGAATCTAATTTAGTTTAGGGGTTCTTAATTACAATAATTAAAGAAAAAAACAGTGAAGCAACAAAGAAAGGTTGTTGTCCTTTTTCCTTGTAGATCTTCTCTTATTATTATGACCTTTTTCGTGCACTTCTTTCTATGGCTTACGAGTATCATATTGACGTTACTCTTTATGTTGAGCTATAAGTTTCTCTACTTGGGAGGATTATTTAAATCAATCCATCCAGATTTTGCCGAGGATTATTTCTATGTATTCTATATTTAGCGCCGCCAGGAAATAGTTTGTTGAAATGGTTCATAAAATATTTTATGTTTCATGGTTTATTTTTAAGTTTGAGTTCTTCAGGTACCGATAGAGTTTCAATCATGCTATATCTTTTAGAGTGGAGGTGCTCTTGGACCGTGGCCGCTACTTTGCTCGGTGCTCGGTGGACTTGGTCGGTGATCTTGGGTCGGTCCGGAACTGTGCCCGCTACTTTGCGTGACAGAGTCCCGAATCGGCCAATTTGTTTATAGCTTAAAATTGAATAAAAAGATCTGAAGAGGTCTGGGAGTGATACCAGACCGCTCATGTATCCAGAATCAGTCTAGACCAGGGGCGGATCCAGGAATCCGAGATGCCCTGGGCTGAATAGGAATTATACCAGGCTTGAATATTAGCGTGGTGGGCTAAATATGAAAAATGAAAAATTTTACACTAAAAAATCGAAAATTTTCTATGTTGCACTGGGCTTCAGCCTACCCTAGCCCGTACATAGATCCTCCCCTGGTCTAGACCCACAATATAACGGTTCGCTTGCAGGCTACACATTTCACGGATCGTGACTACTCACATTGGGGTTGGGATCGGATCAGGACCTGGTCCATTCCTACGATAGAGATTCTGTGCACACGAGAAAATTATACTCTCGTAGTTCGACTTTGTCAACTTTTTTTTTGTTTACTCAAAATTTTGTTAGTTTTGAATTTTTTACCCTGTAGAATTCCGTCCTCTATAGAAACATTAAGTTGGTAAAGTTAGGTGTAATGAAGGTAATAGTTGTTTAAAAATAAATTAAGACCCAATTGATAATTCACATTTTTAGTTTAGGGAAAAGTATGGAAAAGATACTTGTGGTTGAGTCCGTTTTCAAATAGGGTCATTTGTTTCATTCTTCATCAAAATGGTTCATGTGTTTGAATTCCGTTATCACAAGAGGGTCCCACCGTTAAAAACGTCTGAAAAAAACCTTTAAAAGTAACTCCGATTTTCAAAAGTGTTCGGAAAATTAAAAGAAAAATACTGAAAGGTGCGCCTCGTCAAGATAACCTCCAAACCACCTTCGCCTTTGGATTTTCAGATCTGTTTGAATTTTTTTTAAATGATTTCGCTAATATCACTTTTCCGGTGGACTTTCCGGTGACTGAAAACAAAAAAGAAAGATGGTCTAGCGGTCGTCTTATTGAGGCACTTTCCTAAAGGCGCGCTTAAATTTTCTCATTAACAAAAATTGGCTAATATCACGCAAAGAAAGAAAGGCGCACCTTCCGTTATTTTTCTTTTAATTTTTCTGGCACTTTTGAAAATCGGTGTTACTTTTAACACTTTTTTTCAGACGTTTTTAACATCGTGACCCTCTTGTGATAACGGAATTCAAAGACATTTATCACTTTGATAAAGAATGAAACACATGACCCTATTGTAAATGAGTCCAATCACAAGTATTCTTTCCGTACTTTTCCCTTTAGTTTATTAGCCCAATAAGGTATTAGCTTTATTGAAAATGTAATGTTGGATTGTGTACATAGAATTGTGTAATAATTAAAATAACTTGTTTTTTATTGAATTGAGGAAAAGTTATTAAAGAGTATCATTTTGACAATTTTTCATATAATTCCTTTTTTTCATATAATTTTTCATATAATTCCTTTTTAATAATAAAATATGTAGTATATGTTAAATGTAAATTGATAAGTTTAGTCAATGTCAACATTATCAAATTAACTCCAAAGTCCAAACATATACCACTACTGTCTCGGTCATGTAAAAATTGACCAAAGTTAAAGCCTGTTTGGTAATCTTGATTTTCAGTTTATCAGACTTTTAAATCAATTTTTTCATCAAACACGTAATTTTTAATTTTGCGGGGTGAATTGTATAATAATAAAAAATAGTAAGGTTAGAGCTACTTTCCTAGCTATATTAGTTGAAGTTACAATTAAGAAACATTTTATCTATTTTTCATATAACTTTTCTTTATTTAATTAATAAAATATATTTTGAATATAATTTTCTCATAAATAAGCAGAATGAGGCAATTATGCCACTTCAGCCAGAACTTCATAAATTTTAGCAGAATCGACCGATTCAATCAATTTCAGTGATACCAAATGAGCTTTTTATTTGCGACGTTTATGTAGACGATAAAAATGATTGCAATCATATTCTTATTACTTCAAATTGTAACGACTATTTTTTTGTATACGATTAAATAAGTAAAGTTGACAAAATTTTGCAAACCTATTATTTGAACATCCTTAGTTTATTATTGAGTCAAAACTCAAAATTGCTTAAGATCATGCGATTACAATTCAGAGAGAACTATTTAGAGGACAACCTACTTTTGGCAGCGCTTATTGATCAAACAAACGAGCATGGAACTGGTATCAAATTCAAGATAGATCATGTAAACCCATATGATAAGAAATTTGATAGTATTTGTCCCTTTCTATCATTTTCAAAATTTGTACAAGCTTTTCACCAAGATTGAAATAAAATAAGGCATTATCCTTAATTTATGGAATCGGAATTGCCACAAAAGGTATAAACTTGGATTGAACCGTCGACACTCGGTCAGCGTCACAATAACGTGATAAAGATGCAATGTTTGTAGAACATAAGTTGGGTGTGGCGGTAGACAAAGGAAAGTAATCAAGAGTCAGGGCATGGGGCTGGAGATGACCCTACAAATAAAGGTTGAACTCGAGAAATTTATTAGGGTAGGGTGAAAATGTATCGTGGTTGCATAGGGACGTGGTCGGCCAGGGTCGGGTGGGTGGGTAATAGTCCTTTTGGTTTTAGGTTCATGTCCTTGGGCAATGATTTTGAGCCCCTTTGTTCCTTTGTGAATACAAATTGGCACAAAGTTGAGTTGTGGTTTTGTAGCTGTGCTTACATCCCCAAAGAGGGTCGACGTGGAGGAGTGGGATCAAATCCCCACCTCTTTGCCATCTCAATTCTCTATATATAATTTTGCTATTCGCCTATTCGTATATACTAGTATGAGAGTTTGGAAATTGGACCTTCAACATTTAGGATAACACTGAAATAGGTTAAATCAATTCAATTTATTGCAAATTTGCAATTGATGAAATTTTAATAGAGGTTTGAATTGGTTGAATATGTTAAATTATTAAAACAAATAGCTAAAAATGGTCATCACTGCAAGTTCGATAATTTGATCATAAAATTAATTTCAACTTTACTTATTTTGGTAACTATACAATTTGATATGTGAAATCAAAAGTCGCGAATTTGATAAAAACCTTAATGGTAAAGTTGATGAACTGTAAATATTAATGATCAAATAGGTTGGGTTGCAAGAACATCAGAACATGATCCACCTAGGTTGTCCGACCCGGAAGCCGACGACCACCCGGCTGTGGAACCGGTCCAGTAGAGTCCAACCCGTAAATGTGCCCAAAACTGGTATTAACCGGTGACTCATAATTAACCAAACCAGATCCGGAACAGTTAAAAACCAAAAATTAATGAAACCCGGTTAATAAATCGGATTACCCTGTTAAAAGTTCAACGGTGAAGGATTTTGAACCATGGACTCCTGTTTTACTACACACCCGAAGGTCATCAGGGCTACTTAGCCGAAGTGTTCATGCGTTGACCAAGTCTTGTTTATACTTGACTTAGGGGCTGTTTGTTAACCGACGTTTTCAGCCCAACACGTTACAATTATCAGTGTTTATAGTGTAAGAAATATAGCGTTTTTGCTCAACACGCTAATATCCAAACATAGCCTTACTTAACATTTTAAGGCTTACAATTTTATAAATATTAATTTATTATAATTACCAATCATAATAAAAATAATATTATTATTTGTACTACTATACTAATAAATATTCATATGATAAACTTATATTTGTCAATAATATTTATAATTTTATACTTCGTATATCACTATTATTTGAATATTATGTTCACATATTGTATATCTAATTCCCAATATTTTTATCTTTGTGGTTTTTTATATTTGGTACATTGATATTTTATTCTTATAACTATTATTAAATTATGAATGAGTGTAATTTTTAACCTTACATCTTTAAACTAATATACAATTATACGTCTTTATGTAGTTCAGAGCGTTGAACGAGAGCTCCTAGGGCATCGCCGCTAGGCACTTTTCCGATTTCGATCTCCTTGGTCGAAGTTCGGTCGTTTCTCCTAGGGCTTGCGCCGCGAGCCGCTAGGTCGTGTTTCCGATTTCAATCTTGCCGATTGAAGATCGGTATTTACCGTCTCTGCTTCGCTCTTACTTGATCGCCATCATGTTTAGGAAGGGCTGGGGACGGGCGTTTTGGGAGAAAGCAAATTTGAATCGTGATTTTGTTCAGGTTATGGACTCCTCTCTTTTACCACTGGTTTCGATTTGGAAGGTAAGCATGGATTTTGGGTTCATTCGGGCTATAATCATAGGGATTAAGAAGATGCCAGTGGAAATTGTGGTGCTGGGTTTGCAAGGAATGTTTCAAGATGAAGGGTTGATGATCCGTCCCCCTCCTGAGCCACCGCCGAGGATTTTGTTTAAAGCATGGATTCGGTTGCCCTGTCAGTTTATTTTATTTATTTTCGTTTTACTCCACGGTCAGACTATTATGTTTTGTTTTTACTCCTTTTTCTGCTGTAAAACTCTTGCATTAGTTTTGGGGGTTGAGAGGTTTACGGTAATCGTCGTTAGCTTTAATTTGTCCAAGTTAGGTCTAGCGAGTTATATTGCGTTGTCAAAGGTGAATAACTCAGAGTCTCGTCCAAGGGTGGATGGTACCACATGTGGTCCTTTCACGTTCTTGTATCATCGTTGAATGCTATTTTAATGATATAAGAGCCTTACGATAAACAAAAGTATACTAGTACGTCTTTATGTTTTACTTTTAAATAAATATTGACCGGGTTGACCCATCGTTGGCCGAGTTGACCCTCCCGGATATGGGTTGACCCTTGACCCAGTCTTGTTTTTGGGCACCTTCCGATACGGTTTTGACAAAATGGTA